CATAGCACAGGTGTGGGGGTGAAGTCATGGGCTGACCAGGAAGAGATGGCGATGTGCTGCAGCTCCAAGGTTCATGGATGATGAGAGCAGGATGCATTTACTGCTGTTCTGCCTGCTACAGAAAGCACAGTGTCGCATCATAAATTATGGTGAGCAGTGTTTGCAAAGAGCACTGTCCGCCTCTCTTCTCCCGCCTTCCCACTCCCTTTTCAGTTTCTGGCCCCTCCACACTGACCCTCACCCCTGAACTCGCTCTGACCACTATTTTTCTGCATTGTAGTTGCTGTGACAAAGTGTGTGCTCCCATTCTGGCAGGGAGGAATCACGTCCTACTCTCACAGGATAAGAGCCATGAATGCTGGAAAAATGCGACGCTGTCCTTTTACCTGCTGGGAGTTTAAAGTGCCATGACGGAAAGCGAACGCTTGCCATGCTCAAGCATCTTGTCTACAATATATGGCTCAACCATGAGCTGTTCCATGTTCTACTCCTAATTGCATTCCTCTAAATTGACGAAAGGGCTCTCCAGTTAGCTTGTCCACTCTGAAACTAGAAATACATGCACAGAAACCAGGTCTGGGAGGTTCTTCACTGGTATTCCCCTCCACTGAGCTAGCAGCTGTTTAGTAGCTGAGGCCTGCCGTTAACAGACCATGCTCTCCTGAAGAAATTGTATTTTCTAACATAGCAGAAGCTGCAAAACTCTGCACAGTTTCTCTACTTCTTTGTCGCTCCGAGTAATTTTTAAAGTTCTTCAGTGGACAAATACACTCACTGTCTTGTGGAGGTTAAAATGTGACCAGCAGAGGAATGCTCATTTTCATTTACAATCACACCAGGAAATTCTTTAGCTGCCCACTTCTGCCTAAGAGTTTATAAGTCAGAAAGCAGGAGATTACTACTAAGAAAGCAGTGTCTGTTTTTCATATATGCCTCTTGCCTTTTGCTAATACCTGAGCACGTTCCTCAGGTCCTGCTCTATTCTCTACCACTTTCTGGTAGTTCTCAAAGACTGTTTTTCTTTCCCATCAAACAGGTTTGCTTCATGCATAATTCGGAATATATGTCTGCCAATCACAGCACTAGTTCAGAAATGATCCCACTTTTTCCCCTCTGCCTCTTCCAAGGGCTCGGTAGTCTTCCAGAGCTAGCACAGCTGCAGAGAGGGTGAACTGCCTATAGCGATCCCTGACATTGTACTAGACAGAGACCTGCAGAACAGGCATCACAGTTTGAGCATAACAGCTCTGGCTCCCTATATAGCCAATGAAGAGGAATAAACATCTTAAAGGCATGACTCAGTTTACCTTATTTAGATCATTACACCACAGTGAGATGACTTAACACCATAGAAGATAGTACGTCTGTCCTTGAGTATAAATGGAGAGCCTGCCCCATGCTAGATGTCTGCGATGCAATCAACATTAAAAGAAGCTGCCTTGAAGGATCCAAATGACCAACATGTCACAGTAGTATTTAAATTTTTCTGTATATTTTTCAACAGATTACCAAGCATTTCTCTCTGCCTTTCACATCAAACAAACACAACCACACACATGTGCTTTAATATGCCATGGCTGATACGAAGAACATAAGCAAAGGAGAGGAAAAAATGGTTGCTACTGTACCCAGTTACTAAATGTTGATACAACATGAACTTTGAAGTCTGAACTCCACAGCATTTGTTGTCTGAAAACATTTTAAACCATTCACTCCAAATCTGTTTCAAGTTATTCATCCGACAGGTCAGGGCATTGTTCCACTCTTCTTCCCCCTGCTTGTAATTGCCATATCCTTGCTCTCGTTTAAGTTTCTTGTTGCATAGAAATTTGTTTCTGGAGGTTTTCAAGCGATTTTTCTTTTCCTGACAGGTTACAGGCAGATTTTACCGTGATGTTATCAATGTCCCTTTTTCCGTCTATCATTTAAACAGAAAGATCCAATGAGGCAACACCTCCAAGGCTTTCTGAACTGACCTCTGTGTTTCCCGCATCTTCCTTCTCCCTAAAGTCATCCCATCCCAGCACAACATATAAATACTCCTGTAACGTACTGGGTGCTAAACATAGGCAAAAGATAGTTTTCCGCTAGTGGACCTGTGAGAACTGTGTCATTACCAAACTCCAAGCAGCTACCCGAGGGCCTTATTAAACAGTTTTGATGGCTGGGTCCCTTGGTGTGCAACAGCGCAACAATTTGCTCAATGACCTTCTGTGCGTGGAGTCCTGAAGGTTGATAAAGAGAGGACAAGACACCATGCACTTCTAAGCACTCAGAAGCCCTTCGTATGAAAAAAACAAGTCTCTAGTAATAAAAACATAAATGTAGGGTTGTACTACCAATCCCTGCCTTGAAACAGTGTCAGGCACCAGGAAATGTTGCTTGAGATCAGAGAAGCTGCAGAGCTAGGACAGGTAGCATTGGTGGGAAACTGCAGTCACCCAAGGATAGACTGGATCAATGCCTCATCAGGATGAGATATAAAGATAAGCTAAGATGAATGTTCATTCCCCAAGACAAAGAAAGGTCTGGGCAGACCAAAGATATCGGTGGTGATATGCCACTGACAACTATGGCTCAAGTTCAAATCAACTTGAACTGATTGTTCTGCCCGTGATGTTAATTGATAAGAGATCCCCCTGTCTTTATCTCAGCCCACAAGCTTTTTTACCTCATTTTCTCCCCCTGTCCTGTTGAGGAGGGTGAGTGAGAGAGGGGCTGGGTGGGTGTCCAGTAGCTAGCCAAGGTAAACCAAACACATGGCATGAACTTTAAAGAATGGAAACTAGTCTCTCAAAGCATGCAATCTAGAAAAAGAAGAAATGTGATTACTGAATTTTATGGCCATTTCTGCTACATCTTCAGGAGGTGAAAGGAGTAGCCTCTTCCAGTGAGGAAGAACCTGGAAATCTAGAAAGGAAATCTTGGTGACTACACACCTGTTTTTACCCCCTAACGGCAGGGAAGATAAACCTTCCTCTTCTGTCAGTCATTGCTACCTCTTTCTCTCCCTATTCTGTCTGGAAATATGGAGAAATTATAAAAATCCTTTGTCCAAGTCGTGATGTTTTACTTTTAATTTTACTCCCATCGTAAAGTAACAAGGACTTTTTGCTGTATTTTGTCTCCATGTGTCACCAATTACCTTGGGGCAAATGAGCAAGTTGTCAACTATTTTAAGGACATCCTGTTCCTCTGCTTCCCTTCCCAAAATATTAGTGCCAACAGAAGTTTTTAGAAAATGCATGCCTTGACTACAGTCAGTCAATTTGCAGTAGAAAGGCGTTGCCCAGCATCATGAGATTCTAGGGGCATTTCTACGTTTCCGTACTGGAAATGGCTGAGGAAAATGTCAACCAAACAATAACATTCTTATTAAGAAGATGAGGAATGTTTTCCATGTTCAGCTAGGACCTTGGTTGTATTTCAGTATGGAGAAATACGTAATTCTCCTATTTCCACTGAGATACCTATCCCTTAGATAATACTAGTGTAATAGCTCCAGAGTACTGGCCAAAACATAAAATTTCATCCAGTGTCTAAATAAAGCTATGAAAACGATCCTGATAATTCCACTGGACTGCGGATCAGTCAGTGTCTATGATCTTTAACCATGCTTGGATTGCTGCCCTGATAGATTATAAAGGTCACCTATGACATAAACTCAAGGTCTCAGAAAGGTGTCAGACAGCAGGGCTCCTTTAAATGAAATTGATCCAAGCAAGAATAGCCATAATTTTAGGTTTATAGTACAGGAGGTTTTTTTGGACCTGGGCATTAATTTGCATGTCTTACATTTGTTGTCACTGGACAGCTTAGATTATGAGTGTTTGAGGAACCAGGGGCAGGAGGGAGAACAAAGCTGAAGCAGATAGCACATTCACCAGAAAGTACCAAATACATAAAAATGGGAACATTCAGACTCACCATTGTAGGAAAGCTTTTAGCTATTAGCTTGGTGAGCTTTTGAATCATGGTACTGACATTGAGCTGTAATAATAGTAACTGGAAATTGCATTGGCAGAGGAAGAAGAGAAAATTCCCTTCCTGTTACCGGCATCAGCAAATGACCAAACTTGCACCTAATACCAGCTTTTTAATAGCTAACTCATGGATTCTGCACACAACAATGTGGTGTTCATAATAAGGCATTTACCGCAAGCAGAAAGGGAATGCCAATGGTATGATTGCTTCCAGCAGCAGGCAACAATTTTGCAAACACCTTGGGCCACCATTTCCCAGCTGAATGGGCTACAGAGTAGCTGCAGATTGTCTGACTGAAAGTTCACGCTCTAGCTAATAGGATGTTCTGCCTGGAAAATGTTTTTAATATTTACATATTGGTGTTTATTTATTTGCTGGTGTTTCGGTACAATTTGCCATCTCTCCGTGTCATGAGAGACCTAATATAACCTCCTACTTCTCTCATGGTCCTATTTTACCAAGAAATGAGTCCCATCTGCCCAAAGGTTGCTGACTTTCCTCAGCGGCTTGCTCAGTTGTAGACACCTCATGTTAGCACATCAAAATACGTTAGATAAAAGCTGCCAATGCTGTGCACTACTGAAAGGTTTGTTTACTCTTGGAAGCTGGGTACCACCATCATTCCTTTATGCAGAAATGTAAGGAGATGCTACTCTCCAAAGCTTTTAGGAGCTAGTAGGAAAGAACAACCTCTCAAAATACTTGGTTGTTTCTCCTAATGCCGGGAGAAGCCTAGACAAATACCCAAGATACAGCTACGAGGTGCCTGAAGGTAAATGCCACAATACCACTCCCAATGCTCAGGTTTGGTAGCTGACAATAACCTCACATCCTTTTGACTGACAGTTCCCAAAGAAGATGAGTTACATAAAACCTCGAATTTAGTGTCAGCCCTATTTTGAACAGCTGTGCTAAAAGCAGAGCAACATTACTGAAAAGCCTCTCCTGACCACTTCTCTTTCCATCCCCATGGTTTCTGAAGCTCACATCATCTTACAAACATGCACTGTGTTGCTTCATTTCTCACTCCTCTTCACTTTTCTGCTCCACAACTTTTTCATGGCATTTTTCACCTCTTCATTTCGGAGGGTGTAGATCAAGGGATTGAGCATAGGCGTGATGATGGTGTAGAACACAGACACCGTCTTGTCTGCTGAGAAGGTGGTGGAAGGGCGCATATAGATGAAAATGCACGGCCCAAAGAACAGAACTACAACAGTGATGTGGTAAGTGCAGGTATAGAGAGCCTTGAGACGCCCTTCGGAAGAGCGTCTCCTCAGAGAAACCAAGATAACAGCATAGGACACAATAAGAACAACAAAACAGCTCAGGGAAATCACACCACTATTGGCAGCCACAATGACACCAGTGATGTAGGTGTCAGTGCAGGCCAGCTTCAGTAAAGGGTGAACATCACAGCAATAGTGGTCGATCTCATTGGGCCCACAAAATGGTAGCTGAATGGCCTGCAGGGTCTGCACCACTGAGTGTACAAAGCCTCCCACCCAAGAAGCTGCCACCAGCCAGCCACAGACATGCTTGTTCACAGTATTTGTGTAATGAAGCGGCTTGCATATAGCAACGCAACGATCATAGGCCATCACTGTGAGAAGGAAGATCTCAGTGCACCCGAAGAAATGGCCCGCAAACAGTTGAGCTATGCAGCCCACAAAAGAGATGGTCTTCTTCTCAACAAGAAGGTCATAAATGAGTTTGGGAGCTGCGACAGTGGAGTAACTGATGTCTACAAAAGATAAGTAGCTCAGGAAGAAGTACATGGGAGAGTTCAGCTGTTCACTTGTCTTTATAATAATGATGATAAGCAGGTTTCCAAGAATGGTAGTGGCATAGAAGACTAAGAATAATGAGAAGCACACTTTTGCTACTGTCTTATCTTGTGTTAGTCCACGGAGGATGAATTCCGTCACATTGTTTTTGTTTTCCATAGACACCATGTAGGCAGGACCTGAAGCACAGAAAAGAGACGCCAGCTATGGCATTAGACATGGGACATTATCAGTACACATCCATACTGACTACTGGTGTGTTAAATATTAAGCATATTTCCTTTGCTGTCTTTTTGGGACAGTTTCCATTTAAAGTCAATGCTTCCCTCAAGGAATAACAGGTGATATTCAAATCAGAATGTATTATTGACATATATAATAACAAGCTCAGATTATTTATTTGAGGAGGTTGGTAGAAATAACACCCTCAGGAATCCTAGTTCTCACCTTTGCCTCTTTTAAAAAAGACGACTAATTACCAGGTCCCCTCAAGACCCATTTTTACCGTACAATGTTGATTTGGAAATAAAAGTTGACCAAAAGAGACAGTGTGGCTATAATTCAAGTCTCAACACTTTGATCATGGCCTGAGGAAGGCCCTTGCGCAAGCAGTGATTGTACTTTCCTTTTCAGTCCTCTAAAGGAATGCAACAGAACTACTCCTTATTATCTCTCTGACTGTGATAGACCTGAGTAAGTTCAGTCACAGAAAGAGCTGGCCAGTGTCTTCTTGGACCACCTTTCTTAGAGTACACGAATGAACTAATCTGGAGCTAATTTGCATTAATGGTGCATTAGCAGGGGTTTGTATACCTCACCCAGGTCCTGGACTTAGTGTGGAACACCTCATAAATACATCTGTAGTGACACCGGGGTAATGAATGCACTGCTGGTGACCCTCCTTTACTCACAAACACCCATGAATTCACCTTTGCGGCATTCCCATGCAGTAGACAAGTATCACTAGTGTTCAATTTATACATGAAGATAGAGGTGGCAAAGGTGTAATAACCTTGTCTGTGATATCAGCAAGCCCTTTGGGGTCTGAATTCTATTTGACAATCACAGGACACTCGGTTCTTTCTCCTGAGCTCTCTGCCTCACCTACTGGCTACTCCCCAACTAGGGCAGCAGAGGAAAGGCTCTTCAGTGTCTCCATCCCTACCTCCATGCCCCGCCATGAGCAGAGGGAAAGCACTGTGGGGAAGACCAAAGTGTGTCTGTTGTGACCATTGTTGCCTAACATGTCCAGCTCAGACAATGTAAGACTGAGTACATCGGAAGTGCAGTCATCAGCTCCCAAGTCCTCTCTGTAACACTGACAACATCCTATTGACAGATCTTCCTGGAAACAGCATATAACTGGGAAAAAAAAGCAAGTAAGACATCAACTAAAACAAAGGCTGAAAAATCTGTAATTGAGTTTTTCTAAGTCATAAAATGGGCCTCACAAAAGTCACTCACCAGAAATGCCTATTTTCAAAGTTAGGATTTCAGTCACGCTTGACCAAAACAAAGGAACAATATCAGAAAACTTACACAGTTCATATTTGCCAGTCTCTGAGAGTTCGCTTGCTATTCCTCCTCTGATGACCTCCTCTGACCACTTGAGGTGGTTTCATCAGAATGTCTCAGCTGCAAGTTGCTGCTTAGATGTTGTGAAAGCAGTCCCTATCTCTGCCAATTCTGAAACATAGAGTGGCTGAAAAGAACAGCCTGACTCTCGATCTGCATTTCCCATTCTGCAAAAAAAAAAACTTCCAGGAGCATCTACAAGAACAATTATCTCTCACAAGATGGGGAAATTGTAGCAGAAATATTTAAAGTAAATCACACAGCAGAATCACAAGACTATCAGGAGTAATGAGATCCCAGAGGCATACGAAGTTTTGTCAGAAATCATCAGTGGACAAGGAGCTAAAAATTGGATAGCTATTAGGGTAGTCTCTGGAGAGTGATGCTGGAGCATGGTCATCTAGACTGTTACACTGCGCATGGGTTCGCTTGCTTCCTTGTTTCTTTGCTGGCTGGCTTTTTAATGCTGTCCGGATAAATAGACTTTATTTACTATTGGACATGTATTTCTTCCGGAAGCATTTCTAGTTCAAATAAACATCACACCTGGCCATTTGCAAGATTTATATTCACCTTTCCTTTGCAATCAAGCATTCTTGAAGTAAAGATGTCTCTTACACAGGACATTTATATAAATTCTGTTTTCTGTCCTAAACTAATATTCCTCATATGTGTTCTTATTTCTTATTAACTTGTTCTTACCATTGCATGTTAACAGCACAAAAAAATATCACAACTGTGCTATAGACTGTTATCCCTTAGACGTCTGCTGTACAAATTTGAAACGGGAAGTAAAACAGGAAATCAATTCAAAAATTTAGAAAGGTTTGTGGTTAGTCCTCACTGCTTACCAGGTATTTTTACTGAGACAATGCAAAACACAGAAGCAACTCTTTAGCCCGAGTATTAAATTCTTATAAGAATTCTTACCAAAGGGTAGAGGAGCCTGATGTTGTTTTCAGTGACACCTTCCATAAGCTATGGTCGAATATTTGCCCAGCAGCACCCAGAAGTGAGACCTCCAGAAAAAAAAACTGGGGTTCACCCCCAAAGCATTCAAAAAAATAATCTATTTTTAATAGACATATGTATATATATAATTTTGTGTGTATATATATAAAGTTATAAGCCCCAGCTTGGGCTGGGAACACCTTGTAACCTTGAATCCTACTTAAGTCACGTTAAGGTGTAACACAGGTGCAGGTGTTTATAGGGAATGTAAGTGAAGAAATAAAAACGCTTCAATTACTTTTGGATGGCACCAAGCAGGTCTTTTCCTTCCTCACTCAGCTGATTTGGTGGTTTTCTGCTGGCAAGGTAGGGGCTAGGGTCTCTTGTCTGATTGTGGCTCCTCAGGTGGAGACCCCGAGCTGCTATAGCTTATCACCCTGTGACAGCTTTGACTGGCACTGAACTGGTTTGGTCTTTCATCCTCATGTTTCTTCTCTTCCCTCCTGCAATAGTAGGTGTACCAGCTGTTCCCATGGAAAACCTGCTTCTTCCCTTGTGTGGGTGTGTAAATGTGCTCTGTTGGGCTAGGAGTTGTCTTGCATACTGGAATAGTTCCTAAATAATCCTTTTTTTTTCCATTGACACATGAAATTGTGCCTCCAAATGCCTTCTTTGGTGACTCCTTCATTTCTTACAGTCAGCAAGGTGTCTTTCATTAGATCTATGATTCTGTATTAGTCTAAACATTAAAATCAAAAACCTGAGTCAGAGCTGAAGGATAGAGGGGATGGTTGGAAGGATGGCATCAGTGATAGGTGAAGTAGATAGAATTATAGAACAGTTCGGGTTGGAAGGAACCTTTGAAGATCATCTAGTCCAAACCCCCCTGCCGCGGGCAGGGACAGATTTCACTAGATCAGGTTGCTCAAAGCCCCATCCAACATGACTTTGAACACTGCAGAAAGGATTTGTTGCGCTGGCAGGGGAAGGGGAGAAGCTTCCCCGTTACCTGCATCGGCAAATGACCCAACTAGCACCTGACATCAGGTTTTTAATTGCTAACCCATCGTTTCAAGATACCACAATGTGGTTCTCATAAAAAGGCATTTACTGCAAGCAGAAAGGGGCCTCCTTTGGCATGACTGTTTCCAGCAGAAGGTGACCATAGTCCTCTCTTTCCCAGCTGAATGAATTACAGAGCAGATGGAGTTCATCTGAAAGTTTATACTTGAGTAATGGGATGCTCTACCTGGACAACATTTTCAGTATTTTTGATAGTATTTATTTAAACACTGGTGTTTCAGTTAGTGCTCAGGAGCCCCAGGCCCGGGCCTGCACTAGTTGACAAGACAATAGAAAGGGAATGCCTGCTTGTCACAGAGTTCACAATGTCTTTCAAATCAAAAGATGAACCTTCAGTGTCTTCCTAATTACAACAGGAGCTAACAGCAAGCTTTTCTTTGAAAGGCAGTTCTTGGGGAATTTTCACAAAAGAAATTACAGTGAAAGATGCTTGATTTTCTCTGATCCTTTGGAAATGTTACCACAGTTCTACACCTTTCCATCTTCACTTCCCACTTTTCTACTCCATAGTTTTCTCATGGCACTCTTCACCTCCTTATTTCTTAGCGCGTAGATGAGTGGGTTCAGCATGGGTGTGATGACAGTGTAAAACACTGCCACGCTCTTGTCCTCTGACAGATTGCTGGACGGACGTATGTAGATGAACATGCATGGCCCGAAGAACAGAATCACCACAGTGATGTGGGACCCACAGGTGGAGAGGGCCTTGTGCCACCCTTTGGATGTTTGACTTTTCAAGGAAACCAGGATGACAACGTAGGACATGACCAGGATGAAGAAACAGCTCAGAGTTATCATTCCGCTGTTGGCAACGACAATGATGCCCACAGCGTAGGTGTTGGTACAGGCCAGTTGTAGTAGGGGGTGGACATCACAGAAGTAGTGGTCAATTTTGTTAGGGCCACAGAAGGGGAGCTGAGTGGTTAGAAGAGTCTGCACTGTGGAGTGCACGAAACCTCCTACCCATGAGCCGATCACCATCCAGCCACACACACGCCTGGTCATGAGGGTGGTGTAGTGGAGAGGTCTGCAGATGGCAACATAGCGATCGTAGGCCATCACTGTGAGGATGAAGATCTCTGTGCAGCCAAAGAAATGTACCCCAAACAGCTGTGCTATGCAACCCACAAAGGAGATGGTTTTATTTTCAACAAGGAAGTTGGCAATCATTTTGGGAGCTGTGACGGAAGAGTAACAGATATCTACAAAGGACAGGTAGCAGAGGAAGAAATACATGGGAGAGTTCAGACATTGACTGCTAATTACAGTGATAACAATGAGCAGATTTCCTGCCACAATAACCATATAGAAGAACAGAAACATCACAAAACATATTTTCTGCACCGCTTGATTCTCTGAGACGCCCAGAAGAATGAATTCCTTCACACTGCTTGCATTCTCCATGTTAATCAGTTGGGTGGTGATATGCAATGTACAGCCTAAGCACATGGAAAAATAAAGACAAATGATTGATTCATCAGGTTTTTTCATTATTAATAATGAATTCTTTATCAGAAGTGCATACAGACTAAGAAATATATATGATTAGTATTAAGTTTATGAAGTGGTTTTTTTGTTGGGTTTTTTCCTTCCCCCCCCCCAGG